GGACAAGAACGGGAAGATCTCAGTTCCAGACAGGCTGAAGCCAGTGCATCATTTATCACTAGCCTACTCTAGGGTGACACAGAGTAATCCATTCCATTTGAAGCTACCCTAGAGACGAGTAGGATGGCTGCTGCCAGACTTGACTGTGTTTTGCATGCACTAACTGACATCCTTACCAGGCAGACATGATCCCCTTGGTATGAAGGTGGCCCAAGCAAGGAGCACAATGAGGAGAGCTCACGCCAGCAGTGACCTGCGCGTTCAACACCTCCTGGCCTCTAGGTGCCAGGAGCCAGTCTGGCACTGGGAAGACAGCATGAACAAGACATACAACATTCCCTTACCCTTAACACATCCCAATTAAGAAACTTGGAATGTGGGCAATAAATAAATGAGTGTTCCACACCTTGTAGCAGTGCTCCCTGTAAAGTGTTGGAGGAGGGCAGTATTTAGGGAGAGGTGTTCTGAGGAGAGGCAAAATTTAAAAAGGGAGAAGTCCTAGACTGAGAGCAGGACAGCCAGTGCCAAGGCCCAGAGGCAGAAACTAGCTCACATTTTGACAAACAGAAAGGAGTCATGGCATGGGTGGTGCAAAATGAACAGGGCTAAGAGAGACAGTGGCTGCCAGCTGCCAGGAACGGATAGCACGGAACCGTGTTTCCCAGAGTAGGTGATACCATCCCCTGCACATCCTGGAGCAATCGAGGGAGACTGAAAATGCAGATACCTATACTTCATCCTGAATTATGAGCTACAGTACAAAAGCTTTTAAATGCTCAAATTATGAACTATATTACAGAAGGTTTTCATTACCATGGGGGGGGGGTGCCCAGTCATTTTTACCCCCCGAAAAAGGGGATGGTAGGCCCAACAAGTTTGGGAGTCTGAATGTCACCACTGAGTGCTGTTCGGTCTGGGAACACTGGAGCTCATTTCTGTGGGGAAGAGGAGGACGATGGGACAAGCTTGACTGGTGTACAGAGAACAGATGGGCAGCAAGAGCCGAGGGTGGGAACTGCATCACAGCAGGCTGGGTGAAGGCCAAACCGGCCACCGCGCAGGTCCTCACGGAGCAGACAGAGCTCCCGGGGGAGCCAGCAGACAGTACTGCCCCAGGCCCTCTGGGCTTCAATGGGCCGAGCTAAGACACATGCCTGGGCTCCAGCGCTGCTGTCCTCCAAGAAAAGAAGCCTCTTCCTCTCAACTTTCAATCTTTCCTTCTGCTGCTCACTCCCCATTGTGCACGCTCTGGTCTAACCACAGGGAGCTACACAAAGCCCCTGCGCAAAGCCCACTCCTCTTGCAGCCCCATAATCCAGGATAAAATTAAGCTATCTGCTTTGCAGCCTTCCAAAGGTGGTACTGCCCACGTTGGGAAACAATCTCTTGACCAGACCCCTTCCATGAAGGAAACACCCAATAGGAGGTCACAGAGGTGATGACGTGACCGAGTCAGCTGCCTCCACCAGATGCCTGGGTACATCCCGGACACTCGCCAACAGGACCAGGCCTGCGTGGTAAGCGGATGGCAATGAGCAGGGCTGAGTGGGAGGGGGCCACATGCTGGAGTCCGAGAGCAAGATGGGGAAAGGGGGAGGGTGGGATGCAATCTGATGACCACACATGTGTTTGCTCACTGTTCATTAGATACTTACCTCAGCCCTGAGTCTGAGGAGACAACGGTGCAAACACACTCCACTCTGAGAATGCACATTCTCCGAGGAAGAAAGGCGGTGCCAGTGACCACGGACAACATTATGAACAGGAGGGAAATTGGGCAAGAGAAGCCAGGCTGGAAGCATGTCACGCAGAAGGCAGCACGTCACCTCTGTGGCGCTAAACGACAGAGGAATCGAAGGCTCCCCAAGGATGGAACATGGATGAACAGGAGAAGATCGATGCTAATAGGAGGGAAAGCTCAGAAAAGGCATGGCAATGTTCACCAACAACATTCTCACGGTCTCTGAAAGTACATGAGGGGCACCTAGGGTTGTTACATGCTGTCCGTCCCTGTCAAGTGGATGCATCCTCATAAGCACTGCACAGTAGTGCTCCCAAATTATGGACAGTGCACAAGACTTACAAAAGGAAGACAAGAAAACATCTTCGTTAAAGTTGTAGGCTGGTGAATAAATGGAGAGGAAATGAGGAATTAAAAAACCCAACATTCTATAACACAATTCTGGACAAGGTCAGAAACAGATGCAAGCTGTTGCAGACAGATATTTACTAGAGCCACTTGTCTCCTTGGTGGGGCTCCAGGAGCCCTGCCATTCTGTTTCCGGCCCATCACCTCCTCTCCACCATAGGTCTCGTCACACACACTCCTTTGTCTTTGCAACCGTTTGCTCCTGGCCGGCCTGCTTCTGCTAGAACAGGGGCAAGGGCGCGGTGGTTTTGTTTTCTACTCTACCCTCGAGACCCACCCCCTCACAGCTCTGGGACATCGGGCGTTGGCGGTGTTGAAAGGTGGACATGGTCCGGCCGTCATGCCACTGGAAATCAGGGAGAAAGACTGTGGATGAAAAGGAGAGCTAGCTGAACCGAAATCAGAGGCACACTAACATCTAAGAGAGCTAAAAACAACGAAGTGGGAATGGTTAACAGGAGCAGTCAGACAAAGTGGAGTCTGAGGTCAGGGTCCCCGTGTAAATCAAAGTCCCCAGCCCTCCGAGGGCAGGGGGTGGGACGTCAGGATGTCCTGATGCCAAGAAAGGGGTGTGAACAGCTCTTTGACCTAGCACATACTGTTTTCTTCTTTAAACAACATGCTTTTAAAAAAAGTTTAATAATCTAAACTTGTGATTTTTCTTTTGCCACTCACTCATTCACTCCAATGTGAAATTTCCAGATCTATACAAATAACTCTCCCAGCTCTCACCACCACTCAAGATGAATCAGGATTTGGTGGGCCAGGAACCTAAGGTCTGACGACGCCCCATCTATACGTTAGTCCCCAAGTCTTACAACTGGTTATGGCAACAGGGCAAGATCATGCTCACCTCCCTGAGTTTCTGATGACCAAGGCAATGTATTCACTGAGAAGATTGTTTTCAGATACTGCTACTCTGTTGGGTTACATATTAGTTAGATACCAATATGATTTCATTCAATGCTAGTGGTAGCTATTTCTTTCCTTTGATAAAGGAAGAAACCAAAGTCCCAGAGCGAGTGAGTTTTGTGCTGAGATTTCATCTTGACACTAGACACCAAAGCCACAAGCAAATGATTTTTATAAAAAAAGCACCTGTGAACAATTATGTTCTATGTAAATCTATAAGCACGGCAAAGTGCAGGTACAAAAGCAACAAACCTGAGGAAGTTGATTTTTACCTCTCACCTGTCTGAGAAGTGGATCTATATCATTCTACATGAAAGCCTTTAAAAGCACCTTTAAACTCTTCCTGGTCAGGGTAAAAGTAAGCAGAGGATAAACTTGCCCCATAAAAAGCACATGGTTGGGATGTGAATAACTTTCATTGGGACAGGCTGCTGGGAGACTGGAATTAGAGAATTCTTTACAGGGACCTAGCATCAATCTACTTACCATGCACTAACCACTCTGGCCAACAGAGGGAGCCAAGGAGGTTTCTGAGCTTGCCCACTCAAGAGCCAATAGGGAGATCCACCATGATGCCGACTTTTTTTGCTTACAAGAAGTCACTTAGCATTTCACAGGCACTAACTCACAGAAGGGACCACGAGGCAAGGCAGGGCCTTTTTGGGTAGATGAGTAAACAAGTTCCAATCTACATTCTGCCAGTACACTGATCTCTTTTGTCATTTCCTTTAAGACTCAATTCTGGGCCAGTTTCAGAAGCCCTGATGATACTGTCAGGTCAGTATTGGTCTTTAACCCCAAGGTCGGTAGTTCAAACCCACCAGCCCCTCCATGGGAGGAAAATGATGCTTTCTGTTTCCGTAAAGAGTTACAGCCTCAGAACCCCCACCTAAAGCTGCTGGGGGTTGGACTGACTCAATAGCAGGGGTGTTTGTTTGGTTTGGTGTTCAGTTTCGTCTCTCCCCATTCACCTTTCTTTGAGGGGGGGTTTGAGTTTTGGGCCCTATAATCAGGAACAACAAACAAAATACAATTATCTTAATATCTACTACTGTGTCAATATCTCCAAAGACATCACCAACCAGAACAGACATTTTCCTTGACTGGGGAAGATCACAAAACTAAATATACTACGACCAGATGGAAGATATAAATTTAAAATTAAACTCCATGTTCTAGAAAGCTACAAGGTATAAGTGGTAGGCACTAAAAAGGTTTCTGCATATGTATGGTTATCATTGACTAAATACAGAAAGAATAAGACTTCAAAGCCTCAGAAGTAGGATTGGACATGCAGAGAGCGAGAGAATGCATGCCTAATGGCGCAGGATCGATTTTAAATAGCATTCCGTGTTCATAAGCATATGAGCGTAAAATGAAACTGGCTGATAGATGGCTTTCCCACTTCTAGCGCTCATCAACAGTATGGGCCTGGGATACTGAGCTCCGGCAACTGATGGGAAGCACACTTACTTTTTGGCAAATCCCCAGTACTAGAGGCCGAAACCGTCCTGCTTCTGTCGTGCGATGGGCTGTTTTCCTCTTGCTCGGTCAGTGGGGAACCCTCAGAATGGGCAGAGCCACAGGCCACAGGTTCTAAGGGCCCAGAGAACAACGGGGTGGAAAACTCGGGAAGCTGGGACTCGGGAATTTTATGTCGTCCATTTGGCAATTCACCATTGAATTGTTCATATGAGCTGCTATACGTGTAATCGCTCTCAGCATTCGGCTCATCCAGGTTGCATTCCTCGGGGTTTGGGCACTCGTCATCCTCCTCCTCTTCCTCATCCAGCTGCTGTTCCAGGGAGAATGGGCCATTCTCAATATGGCCATTGGTTTTCGGTGATTCTATCCACGTGGGGTCTAGGTGTGCGAGTTCTTGTTCAACATCATCTTCATCTTTCTCGATGTTTTCTTTCTCAGCATCTTCTTTCTCCTCCTGGTCCTCAGGCTCACC